ACATGACCTTCAATGCAACAACATAAATGAATCTCAAAAATAGACTACTGAGTAAATATAGCAAGCTGTGGGGAAATGCATATGATAAAGCATTACATTTAGTTCAAATATGCCAAGGTATATTTTGAGAGGTATACACATAAGTGGTAAACTATGGAAAAATAAAGATGTTTACTAACATAAGACAAGCAGAAATCAGAGACATCATGCAGAGAATTGAAGGAGTAGGTAAAACATTGATGGATGTCTATACTTCAGACTGAGCAGTGAATACCTGCATATTTCATCTGTTATTACACTTTATATGTACTATAAACTTTATTAGCAATGTCAAATACATTCAAAATGTTCAACAAGAAAAAAAAATGTAGGAGGGTGGTAAGTGAAAATCTTCTTCCCACTATTTCCCTATTCACCCAATTTCTAACTCCTGTCTTGTGTTTGCTGGGCCAGCATTCCACAACCAAGCTATAATCCCATTTTTTCTTTCTTCTTCTGGTGTTGGGATCAAACCCAGGGCCTTAAACATGCTAGGTGAGCACTGTACTACTGAGGTACATCTCCAGACTAGAAATCTTTTTATATAGTCTATATTTTCTTGCGAGTACACAAGGTAATCTGTATACTTTTTTATTTCCCTCCCATATTTTTATATAAAATATGACATATTCAATACAATATCTACCTTATTTTTTCCTCTGAATAATTAGAGATTTTTTCTATTTTAGTTCACAGTATATCATTTTTTTAGACTGTATACTGGTCTTTTGAATAGTTTTATCAATTTAAGCAAATTATAGATTTGTATACCTTTTATGGGTATATCCATATATTTGGAAAATTTTCTGTTTCCTCAAATACTTTGCTTTTGCAATTTTCCTATGAATATATTTATACATATATTTCTCATGAGTGCACAAAACCTTGAAGTTTAAGTTTTCAGAAGTTCAGTGGTTGGGTCAAAGGATAATTCCATTTGTATTTTTAATAGATATTGACAAATTATCATTCATAGATATTTGTAAATGTACTTTCCTAACACCAATGTAAGGGGTATCTTTTTCCTCAGCCTTTTTGAAAGTGTGTTATCAAACTACTTCCCTAGTTTGAACTTCTATCACTCTCATTTTGAGTATAGTGTAGTGCTTTTCTTATTTTTAGAGTCATTATGTTTTATTTTCTGTGAAATAAATGTTCATAACAGTTGTCTATTTTTCTAGTCAGTTTTTCCTTTTCTTATCAATTTCTAAAAGTTTTATAAATAACTTAGCTCTATGATATAAATCTACAATTTCCCAGGCTTCCATTTCTCTTTTAACTTTGCTTATGATATTTTTCCATATAGAAAGTTTTAAATTTCATTGAATCAAATTTATTCTTTTTCAAAATATTTGAAATTTGAATCATAGGTATAAAGGTCTTTCCTCTAAGGCATTCTTTCATGTTTTTTATTGATACTTTTGTGCTGTTTATTTTATTTTAATTTGAATTTTTTGAAATATTTGAAGTTTATCATGCTATATGACATGATGTGTAGAACTATACTGTTTTTACCAATATTTGTTTATTAGAAAATAATATCTAAAATAGATTACTCTCAAAACAGATATCATAAATGTCAGTTTTAAAGAAGTTCTTTTTTTTTTAGTTGTAGATGGACACAATACCTTTATTGTGTTTACTTATTTATTTTATTTTTTTTGTGTGGTGCTGAGGATAAAATCCAGTGCCTCACACATGCTAGGCGAGCCTATACCACTGAGCCACAACCCCAGTCCCTATAAATGCCATTTTTTAAAAATTCATTATTATTTTAATATAATATGAATTTATGTGACATTAAATACTCAATGTGTATCCAATACATTATTTTTCACACATCATTTTTAAGACCATAAAAACATAGTTGTAAAGTTAGGTTAAAAATCATAGCGGCCAAGAAACCAATGTGCCAATCTTTTGCAAACTCAACAATAGCAATGCTGAGATAATGTCAGATAAAACCTAATGCAAATCTTTTTTATTATCTTGTGACCCAATGAATACAACATATCCATGCATGCTTAAATTTAAAAAGCATGTTACAATCTATAGCTTTTCTCCACATTTTTTCTGTTTTTTTTTTAAGATTTGAGAAAATCTAATCTTTTAAAATTCTAATCTATAAATTTCCAATAGTGAATCTTATGAAGCAGTGCTTTTTAACTTAATAGAGTAGGGGGAAATTTCTGAATCAACTCTGGGAGGGAATCTCTCCCAAGCAGGACAACAACTCTCTCATACACTGCATCATTCTTGGTGACCTTAACTATAGCAAATCTCTAACTTCCCAACCTTCTACTTCATCCTGGCCTTAAGTCATAACAAATGTAAAGAGCTCATTGACAAAGTTAAGAGCTCAGTTGAGTAGCTGAGATGAGCTGCTCTCTTTCTCATTGGCCAAGTGAAGACTTTTGGAAAAAAGGAAGTGAAAGGGGCACAGAGAAACATTTTACTTGTTCAAGTCAGGGAGCACCTGCTTTTCAACAAGAAAATTGGCCTTATTGAGTGAATACCATTTGGTTTAGGTGTAGGCCTGATAAAATCATGCCTTTTCACTGGACTGGACTCATTCCAGACCCATAGATTGCCAAAATCAGTTTCTAATGTAAAGATTTCTGAGTGCATTAGTAGATGTTTACCTAAGAGAATACTGATGAAGGGTTCTAGCCACAGGAAATGATAGTGAAAATCAAACGTGGCCATGTGCACATAGAACTGAGTTGTACAGGAAAAAAAGATCTGGAGAGGCAGGGTAGAATTATTAAAAGAAATACCAGCATCGCCAGATGGGTCAAGACCTTGGTTCTGGTACCAGCATTTCTCAAAGCTACTCATGTGACTTCTAGCAAGACATGTAACATAGGTCTCCATTTACACACCAGTAAAGTCAAGGAGTTAGATTAATCTCTAAGAGAGTTTTCAGCAAGAACATGTATTATCTCAAAGAAGGTTAAAGCAAAGGACTTTGGGTTAGTGAGAAAAATAACAAAATGTGTTCTTTTGATTATTTGCTTAGGTGTTGATAATTTACCTGCTTTGCAGTCTCTATCTATCAAATACACTGTAGAGTTGCCAAATTTTCTCATAATCATTCTATTTTAAAACATGTATGTTTAGATATTTGAAATTCTTTAGAAATATTGAATTGTTTCTGCAAACATTTTTTTACTAATTTTTAGGAAATTTTCTTAAAAACATATTCATAATGTCAGTTAAATGACAAAGGAACAACTATGAAGAATAAAGTTTAAGACCTTTTGCTGTAAACAAATGCATTTGAATATCATTTTGTAAAATAAGTTGTATAAAATCACAATATACTTTCTAGAGACTGGTCTAAATCTCCAATATACAAGCAAAGGGGGCGGGAATCAATTTATAAAGACTTCATAAGGAAATCAGTTCATTAAAAAGGTACTCTGAAGGGTGTGGACTTCCAGAAACAAGATGCTTTATTATGATCATAGTTGATGCTCTGTGTTTGCCTTTGTAAATCTAATAAACCACTTGCTGGTGGCCTGAAGTATTCGTTTATGAAAACCATTATGTGAAAAGAGAATCATGCTATCCACCCCACCCCACCCTGACCTCCAGTTTTCCTCTTAATTTAATCATTTGTCACAGGAGTGTATGTGCTGATGAGATTCTAGCTTTATGTGTTTTGTAAAAAACGTGTCAGCAAGGGAAGGAAATCACTTCTTATGCTCACTAATTAACACAGCATCAGCTCACCCTAATATAGGTAGGCACTCTGGTTTAGTGATCTGCGTGAAGCCAAATACAGACATTCATGTTTCATGGAGACAGAGATTGTCTGTTTATTTCATGAGAATGTTTTTTTATTTGTGGCTTCTCCTAGATGAATGATGATCAATATTCATAGTATTGTTGTACTTTTCCCATACTTAAGAGACTTTACTTGATTTGTTTCTCAAGGTATATTATGATATGACCACTTGATTCAGGACAAAAATTCTCCTTAAATTTTCACATACAAGCAGGAAATGATCCTTTCAATACTACCCAAACTAGCACCTTTGGAACCACAATGGTTGAAGCTTTCCTTACCTGTGTTATATATAATGTACCTAAACCCATCAATGGAAATCATAGGTTTGTGGTCTGCCTGTAGAGCGGGGGAAATAAAAAGAGTAAGTTGTGAAATCTATCAGGATTTTTCAAACCTTTTTTATCTTTTCTGATAGAAAAAAAACAATGTTTATTTTCTAGTTATAATGAATTAAAGATGTATAAAATTACCCTAAGAGAAAAAAATTTGTCCAGAAGCTGGTACCCCTGGATGACCCTAAAAGAGACTGATTATGATTTGCCTTTGCCTAAACATCTGCAAAAAACCACCATCAGCTCCTAGAATAAAGACAGGAAACACAGAACTACAGTAGCTTTCCCAAGCTCTCTTAACAGCCTGGATAAGAGAGATTACATTGAGTTTCTTCATGAAAGGGAAGAGGTCAGGTTATCAAAAGGATACATGACAAAATCTAGCTCATACTGTTGGTGAAAATAGTGTCCTATTTTACAGGTGAGAAAACAGTGCCCAAGGTCACACAATGACACTAGTAAGTCTTAAACCCACATAAGGCTCTATGTGTGTGTGTGTGTGTGTGTGTGTGTGTGTGTGTGCGTGCGATGCTAGGGATGAACCCAAGGCTTTTTTGTTTTGTTGTTTTATTTACTCCTATGCTTGTGACACAGTTAAGTGCTCAATAAATTTGTAAATACGAAAATGAAATAGGCTGAACTCATCACCCTATCTACTCCATTGCTTTCAGAGCAACATCTTAAAAGTGACACTGTATTGTATCTATTCTATTATCCTTAGAAGACAGGACAGTCTTCCTATAGATTTGAAGTTTATATAAATGTTATCAGGTATTTTTGACCCAATAAACATTAAATTCAAAACAATATTATAACATATCCACATATGTTCAGAGTCAGTTTTAAAAGCATTTTATGTTTCCAAATATTAACATCAATTTCATGTCTTCATACTTTAACATTTATTTACAGTTATTTGATATGTTTCCTACTGGTAGGAATTTAGCTTCTGATGAAAAACTGCGTGGACACATACACACTCCTATATTTGCAAATCCAGAATTTCATTTAGTGACATTTTATTTAACAGAACTCCATTCATCCTCACAAATCAGTAAAGACAACAAAATAGTTTCTTTTTGAATAGGAAATGAAATATTATCATTTTAATAACATAATAAACAGTGACCTGGTTTGGAAAAATTTTAAATCCATTAAAAGGGGGTGTAATTAATAAAATTCACCAAGGAACATATTCTTAGGATTCAAACATAAAAATAATTATAAAAAGGAACAAAATTCAGCAAAAGAGACAATGAATGGCAGTATCTTCCAGGTACTATGTATACTTGAGCTTGAACTCTTTATTTCTGAAGTGATGCTAAACGCATTCTTAAATGCTGGCAATGAAAAGGACATCACAGAGGGAAATGGCTTCCATCATACAGACTGTCAAGGATCAAATAGTAAGAAACACAAGAAAATTCTGCCTTTTTCCTGAGCAAGAGCCATTAAACTCTTCTCTAGAGAAGGTTTTCCCAAAGTATCTGTTGACCCTGATTGCCGTGTATTCCTTGTGAATGACAATGCACACAAGTGAAATTGATTATTGACATCCTATGAAATACTCAAGGTGAAACCCCTTAGATCCTAAAGCCACTGAAAGTCTGGTTGACTTCTGAAAACTGTTTTAAAACATCTATCCTTAATCTTCAGGTTGAGCTTCCTTCCTCAGTACCACCTGCCAAGTCTTTATTTTCAGTGTCTTTTTTCACAGAAGGCCTGGTAGGAGATGAAAACTGAAGGTCTGAGCTATCACATTGAGGGAAAGGCAAAAAAAAAAAAATGTAGGCAAGTAAAAGAAATATAAGGATTGGTAAGAACAAAAAGATAAACAGTGAAGGATGAAACTCTGAAATCCCTCATCCAAAAATCAGTATCTAGGATATTTAATTAGTATAAGTATGGAGAATACAGAACAAATGGTAGGAAATAAAACTATGGAGATAGGTGAGAATAACAAATAAGACTGTAAAATTCTAAAAAGTATATCTAGAATTAAAGAGGAGAAGGAAGTTGGAAAGCCAGTTAGAATATTATAAGGATAAACAATGCCTGTTATTGTACATCAGAACTATAGATTTTCAAAATAAAAATATATGTAAAATATAAAACCCATTTGATATAAGACTTCTGTTAAAAGGATTTATAGACTAAATGGCTCCAACATATATATTTCTAGATCATGGATAGATCTTTAAAACACCAAAATACTTTCCTATTCATCTTGTAATTATGACTCAAAGGGAATGATCATAATTTCCGTTCCTTCTCCTCATCCTTCTCCTTTTCCACATCCTTGTTTTCTCCTTTACAGTAAAGTAACTATATGGCATAGTTTTTAAACTAGCTTCTAATATTGGAGGAATTATGGTCTTTAACTCACAGCAACTTTTAAATTTGAAATGAACTGGAATATGCAACAAAGAGCAATTCAGTATGGTTTTTTTTTTTTAATCTCAAAATGATGTTTCACATGAAGATTCTGGTCTTAAAGAATAAATATAAGCTATGTGCATGATGGGTATAGGGCCCAATGACTTTAGAGTCATTTTCAAAGATAAACCTGGAAAAAAAATGTAGAAGTTAGGCCCTGGGATAGAGATCAGATTTACAGAGAGGAAGATATAATTTCCAGTTCATGATATCATCATTTTCAGAGGCAGGTTTTCTCTTTAAAAGAGGAATAAGATTTTTTAAGTTAAAAAAACAAACAAAAACAAGTTCCCCTTAAATGCATGTTATTGGTTACTGTATAGTGTAACTTGAAGAAACCAATTAAGATTTTGATGAAATCTTTTTGGATTTGCTACTATGTTCCAGGCACCATTCAAGGCACTGGTAATGCATGAGTAAACAGACTGACAAAAATCCCTGCCCTTGTGGGGTTCATATTCTATAGGACAGAGATGTTAAGTAAGATAAATGAATGAGCTATGTGGTATATCAGGTGATTAATACAATGGAGAATGAATAGAGCACAAAAGGAGAATATGAACAACTATCGGGCTCTTTCATTTTAAATTAGAAGAGATATCTCACTAAGAAGGAGATAATTGAATGTAGACCTGAAGGAGATGAGGGAATGAGCTATGTAGATATCTGGGAGACATATAAAGACTATAGAAGAGTGAGAGTCTTGAAGCAGAGGTGCACTTGGCAGGCTCCTGGAACACCAAGATTCGCCACAATCTTGAGCGCTTCTTAAGAATAATAAAGGAGCTCTTCTTAAGAGATGGTGTAAGAAAAGTCACAGCCAGGAGAGAGAGGTCTTTAGAAACAAAATATAAAAGTATTTAATACTTCTTTTGTCTCCTATAGGTAAAAATGCCAGCCCAATCATAAAATATGCTATTCTGCTACACTAGTGCTTAATGACTTCATATCCACTCTCCTCATACACCTTTATAAGGACTTAGGGTTTTGCTCTTTCAAAGGGGTTTGAGAAGAGTATAATGAGTGCTTACATTTTAGAAGGCTTATGTTAGCTAATGTTTTGATAATTGACTCTAGCAGCTAAGGGCAGAAGAAAGGAGAATCTTGGCCCAGTGTACTGATGATGGTTGGAAAAGCTGTCAGTGTGGGTGTATTTTGAAAGAGAGCAACAGTGTGGGTGAAATGGGTGAATGTGATTTTGAGGGGGGATGTTTCAAAAGACTTAGCTCTAGAAACTGTAATGTTGGAGTCAATACTTGGTGAGAGGGAAAAGTAAAGGGAAGCAGGCTCAGGATGAAAGTGGTTTTGTAAGTTTCAAAACCAAGATGTCTTTACACATCCAAGAAAATGGCACATGACAGCAAAAGAAAAGATACTGACCGCCTTCTCCATGAATCCCAGATACAAAGAACATGTAATAATGTTTGAGCACTAAAATGTTATGCTTATACTATTTTTAAAAACTTTTAGGTCATAATTTATAAACCAGCATGCAAATATTTCAATCATATGCAGCTAAGTAAATTGGGTTTATATTCAAATGATATGGAAATTTTTTAAAGGCAGCAAACAAAGTATGTGTGGTTCTGACTGATACCTTTGTAATAGTGATTAGGAAAAAAAAAGGAAGAAGAGAGCATACTACTTTTTATTTTTAGGGGAAGAAGTGATGCAGAGACATAAAGCATTTGAGTATAATGTTGCTATGGGAAAACCCTCCACACCAGAGCCCTGACTAGCACTTCCTCATGTCTCTTTCCATTGGCCAAACATTGAACACATGATATTAGAAACCCCTGACCTTCTTAAATAGATTTCTGTATTATAATATTTTCCATTGTCCCTCCTAAGGAAGGAGGTAACAAAAGGTCAAAATGCATCTCTGACTTTGTTCTTGCATTTTCTGATTATCCTGGATGTGGTCTCACTTGGGATACTTCCCCAGTCCTTGCTCGAAAGCAGCTGTGTACAGGAAAATCCTCTGTGGTTGGGCCAAACAGTGCCATGGTCCACTATAGAGGTTTTTAAGTAAATTCAAGTGTCAAGGAGTCTTTTACTTCATTAGGTGAATTTTCATCCGCAGGTAAATAAACAGAAAGTCACTAAAGATGTAAAGTTGTACTGACTCAGTAGGCATTCTTTCTTAAATCAAACTGAGTGGTTTTATTTTACTTAATATTTTTAACCTGTGATTATTTTTAGCAGATTTAAAAAAAAAAACAGACGTGGATTTTCTTTTCTTTTTACTCTATTTTCTCTCTTCCTTTATTCTTCATTTTTTTTTCAATTCAAACTTTTGAATTTAGTCTCTCATCTAATCTAATAGTTTTATAAAGGGATATTAAAACCTTACATTTTTATTTAATGATCAGTCCTGTGTTATATACAACTTAAAGTTTGACTTCTTCATTCAAATGATCTTTTGAAAATTTGTCTAGAAGTTATAGAATACTGAATATTTTTAAAGAAAAAAATACATAAAAAATTATGTTTTTCCTCTTAAACCCAACACAAATAATGGAAAACTTGAAGTATCCCAACCTAAATAGTCAGCTATTTCTGTCAAAATAAAACTACTGTCAATATTTAGATGCTTATTAGAAATCTCCAGTTTATAGATCTAGTTCCTCCAAATTTAACATACACCATATGCAAAATAAATGTATTTTTAAAACTGAAATGTATACTTATTCCAAAATTATATTACATTATTTACAATAGTCTATCGGAATAAAGAATTTTCTTAAAAGATCAAATAGTAAACAGTGTATAGTAGTACATAAATAGTGTATAGTAATAAATAATTACATCATTTGAGCCCAATAATAAATAGTGTGCTTAATATTCTTCAGAAGCTTGTATAACTTTCTCCTAAACATTTTTTTTCCTGGAACCATTGAACATTAAAAAAAATTGACTTCTGAGATTTTATATATTTTTAAAACAAACATGAAACCTGAAAAAACACATCAGAAACAAGACAAACACTTTGAATCTCTGTGACATGCATAACAATTGTAGTTCATGGCAATTTTTCAAAATGGTTAGAAACTGGTTCATGCTTAAAAGTCTTGTTAAAATTTAGTTCAATTTTAATTTAGGTTGATCTCTTTCACCACAAATAGTAATTCTGACAGTATTGATGTAATTATATTATTAAGGACAGAAATATTTACATTGAGATTTGAAGCTAAATCAAATACTGACCAAATACCATGTAAATTGTTGACATTTTTCAGTATTTGCTTTAAAAGTGCCTTTTTGTACCTATAACTATTTGGTTTATAATTTTTTATAACATTATTACCATTCATACTCCTTTTTTCTTTGAACTCAAAGCCTTATATGAGTGTTTCAATACACAGAATTGCTATTTTATATTTTTTCCAACAGTATTGAGGAATTCATTCTCCTATTTACACAGAACAGACCTTGTAGAATTACTTTTATGTGGGGTTAACCTCAATATAGTTATATAATTAAAACTTGAACTTGTGAAGAAAGACAATATTCTCTAAGTTTTAAAGATTTTGATCTGATAATGTTGGAAAGTCAAGTTATTTTTTCTATTTCTACTTATTTACTGCTTTCAAGTAGTAAACAGTGCCAAATAGTTCCCATAGCATGTGAGAAGCTGTTTTTTCAACAGAGACAAAATAAGACAAATAAATGTTTTCCATTACTGAAGATTATATTCATCCTGGATATTCAGCCAGTCCTCTTCTTTTGTTCTGATACATTTGTATATCTTTCTATTCATGCATGATGTAATGAAAGCCCTCACAAATTCAAAAAGCACTACTGTGTTTTAGGCTCTGCATCTGTAGAAGAGGTCTAAATAGAATATATGCCTATGAGCCTACTGATTTCAATCTTTCATATATGAAAGTTCAGATATCATACAAACTTGGCTCATTTGATCTTGTGTGTTGAGACTCTTTCTGGAATCCCTCCATGGCTGATAGCAAATTTTTATGTAAATATTGATAGATGCACAAAACAAAAACAAAAATAAATAAATAAGTAAAAAAGAAGCAAAGAGACATTATCAGCCAACCAGAGAAGGTAGACCTTTAAATAAAACAGAAGGGTGTATAGCCTCTCCCCAGGTTTTTCTTGATACAACTTCTTTAAAGGTCCACAGATACATCCAGAAACCTTTAGACTGTTTGTAGAAGCACAAGAATCCTGTGCCTGAAGACACATTGCCATGGCTCTAAAGGTTTCTTTTTGTGAAGAGGCATAAATTTGTTCCCATAGTCTAAAAACAACTCTCCATTATCTTAATGCACTAGAGTGAATTCTGTTCCCTTAGGAATACTGCAGAAACTTTCAATGTTGATTTAACAATGTGACCTAGTTACCAATATTACAGAGAATCTACTTGCTTGGGTTTCCTGTTCATGAATGTGTGAATTTTAGTACTGTGAAGCAAACAAGCATCTTATAGGAAAAGACTTAGGAAATGCCTCTGCCTACACTTATGCAAACTACTATTAAAATGAAAGAAATCATGCATGCCCACTTCAAAACCTTGCTTTGAAAACTCTATTTAATACTTTGTGTTATTTTAGCATAGTACTAGTTTTGTAAATAGCATGGGTTAAAGTTACTCTATTGAACTTACACAACAGACTTAATACTGTAAGAGGATGTTCTAAGCAGGTCCTCAAATATCCTTCTTATCTGTTTTACCTTATAATATCGGTGTAGATATTGACTTTTTGAAAGAGCATACAAATAGAATGTAGACGCCAGTGTCACTGCTTTATCTTATTTTTAAAGAGGCACTTCTTCATAGTTCTTAAAAGTACATTTTCATGATAACCTCTTACTTTTTAACATAGTAGTCAAAACATAGGCAAATATCACTGATGGCATGATAACAAGAATTATTTATTTTTAAATTAGTTTTGGAAGCAGCTTCCCTGAAACTACGGGCAGAAAAATGCAGTGGCACACAGCTGCCTGTAATCCCAGCAACTCTGGAGGCTGAGATAGGAGAATCATGAGTTCAAAGCCAGCCCCAGTAAATGCAAGTTGCAACACAACTCAGTGAAACCCTGTTTCTAAATAAAAAATACAAATAGGGCTGAAGATGTGGCTCAAGTGCCCCTGAGATCAATCCCAGTACAAAAAAAAAAAAAAAAAAAGGAAGAAGAAAGAAATTAGAAATCAAAGATGGTGTAGTCTAGCTGAGAGAAGTACATGATGGAGTGCGGACCGGTAGCTGAGTTGTTGACTTTAGTGCTTGCCTAGTGTGATCAAGGCACTGGCTTTGATCCCCAGCACCACAAAAAAAAAAAAAAAAAGAAGAAAAAAAAATTAAATGGACTACTGTACTATTCAAATCAGTGTGATAACTCTTTAAAGTCCACAATTTTCAAGTAACAAGACGATTGAAAGAGTGAATTATGGCTCTCAAAGTAGAGAGGCAAAACTTCTAGGAGACTAGTGTAGATGTGAGTGTCAATGGGGTACTATTGCAACTAATGTGAAGAAATATAGGGATGTTTATTTACTAGGTTATATAACAGTAGATAGCTACATGATGTTAAAAAAAATCACATGAGAAGAAAAAATTGCCTAAATAGCACTAGTTAGATGATGCTGAGGGGAAATGTTTTAAAGTTGAACGAAAATCCCTTGACTAAGCAGCTTCAGAACTGCTGGGAAATGAGTTTACTCACTGACTGAACTAGATATAGCAATTTCAAAAGGCATCATTGCTGTGATTTGTTCATTCATTTTTAACTATTTTACACAATCTAGCCAACTTTCAATTGCTCATTTGAGCAAGATCAGGCACACACATGGCAATGCCAATGCAAAATTTCCAACGTGGGGTAGGGAGAGAGTACAAATGATACTAGTTATTTTTATATATGACACTGACTATATGACAGGAGAAAGAAGCTGACTGTGCTGGTTGACATCTGAAGCTGGTAGAATTCTGAAAACTGGCAATAAAGGGTGCACATTCAGAGAAATTCGTAAGAAAGAACAGTTGATTGCCCTTCTGTACTTCTGTGATTTCTATTGGATTCCAATAGATCGTACTGCCTACCACATGTTTATGTAGTACACAAAGCCAGAACTATAGCATGTATGTCAGGTAAACAAAAACATAATTACATAAAGGGTTGTGTTCTTAGAAAATTGCTGTAGCTTTTAATCCCCCGATCATTCTAATCTCTGTAACAAGGGTGGGTAGAGTTCTTGACAGTCCTTATTCTTTTGCTCTGGATAGGAAGCTGCCATTCCTAAAGTATCTTTTATTCTTGTTAATTTATGTATTTTTATTAATGTCAGACAGTCTTGGTATGTTGCAGAATGTTGTACTGGTTTGATTTTAAGATTGTTAGTAGAATCATAATAGGAGTTTTTGAAGCTTTTGGCTAGAAGTATGTAAAGGTCATTCATTACATGCCTTTACTTATGTTGGTTTCCCAGTTATTGCAGATATTTGTCTTTCAAAAGAACATCAATGGTAAATTCTCAGTCTCAAAATTCATCGTGATCATGCTGAAAGGGTGATAAAAATCTTGCTTTTTCATGCTGGAGTTTGAGATTTAAAATAAGATCTTAAATGTGCTATATCATAAAACTTTAGAAAATAAAATTTTAAATAATATACAGATTTTAAAAACAGATTTAAACGATCATATGCTCAGATGCCCTCACATGCTTTCATTATAACCTGGTTGCAGCATATTCTTTCAATCTTTTGGGGGGAAAAAAGCAGACATACAAGAACTCTATGACAACTAACTAAAACCGAGAAAAAATAATTAACTTTTTGTTCACCTACACAATGTTGAAACCTATTGTTTGAAGAAAAAACATATTTCAGAAAAGTGGCACATATTCAAAATATATTATAAAGTATATTGTATGTCCCTTATACAGGTACATTAAAGTGTGTTTCACTATTTCTCATTTTCATTAACTTCAGTGAAGGTGATTTTCCAGAGTTAGTATCCCAGGCAATTAATTATCTGCATCATCTCTAACATCATTAATATGCATGATTTATTTTATAAGCCTGTCACATCAAGGATTTATTAGAGCTCAGTAAAAATATATATGTTGTATGTGTGAATATATATATATATATATATTTCAACAAGTGCACAACAATTAGAAATTAGCCACTTATTTATAAGTGGCAAATTTTGTTTTCCAAATTAGATGTCAAAATGCTAGTCACATATGGGTTTTCATTTTCTTGGCCAAAGAGTTTTGAAGGGAAACATTTTTAAAGTACATCACATGGGGGGGGGGGAACGAGGGGACCTTGAATAAAGGACACGTGGTGAAGACAGCAGTTCAAAATTCCACATTTTAAGTGGGGAGACATCTTTTTGCAAGACTCCAGGAATGAACATGAAAGAGTTCAAGTGTTTAGTTCACCAGCTCATCTGTCATTCTCTGTCTCCAGAATGCAAAGCCAGTGATAGTCCTAGGACACATTCTGTCTGAAGTGAATATCACTAAATAGGAATACATTAATTACAATAATTTCTATAGTTTCTTGTGCCCAAAGTATACTTGAATATTGAGTTTCAGAGACAAAACAAGGAAACTATTCACTATGAGAGCAGAAATATGGCTTCATAGGAAACAGGGCTACATTTCAATTACCTTTGATACTTTATGCGTCTTTTCTGCTTTTTGTTATATAGTTCATATCACTGGCTTCAAGTTTTGAGTCAATCTTTCCCAAAGTAAATCGCTACCAAAATTTACAAACTTGACATGAAGATTACACTGTATTTACAAAGAACTTGGCACTTACAGAATAAATTATTGACTTTTTTTTTTTTTAAATCCAGCCCAGGGCACCCATGGTTCAGGCAAATGAGAAAGCCTGATGCCTTATTATATATTATGCTACATTAACATGAATAAATAGATTTCCAGCTGGTAATTCCTCCACAGTGCTAGCCCTGTTGCTGAAAACTAGTACCTTCCATTTCTAATCCGTGGAGTAGGCGTGGAGAAGTTATTAGTCCAGAGAAAGCAAAGGTTGCATGTTTTCTTCCTCGTTTTTATCCATACGCTTTAGTACAGTGGGGTCCACTACTGATTGGGATCTGCAAAGGATAAAGAAAGCCAGGGTCAGTGATTGGTACCAAATAATTACCTGATGACATTCTCTTCTCTGTCTTTTCTTTGCCATTACTTCTCCCGTGGATATGGATTATCCTCTCCTACATCAAGGAATTTATGAACTGTGGATATTGCAAATTTAGAGAAACACTGATGATGGTGTTTGGTATCAGAGTGAGGAAACAGTTCCCTCTGGCCTCTCAGTAGAGTAGTGGGAAGAAAAGGATTCTAAATAGATAATAATAGGCCTCCGTTCTCCTCTTCACGACTGAACAAGTCTCCTTTTTGAGACATCCAGAATTTCTAGTGTAGGGCAGATGCTTTCTTATATATTCAAATGGAACGAGAAAACACTACAGTGAAATGATTGTTATTAAAAATTGGATAGAAATGACAGGAGGCTTGATTCCTGCCTTCAAAATACCTATGAAACAAATTCAATGTGAATTTGTTTTCCTTAACCATCATTTTTACATGAACGATTATATCAACAAAAAATCAGAATTCAAATGTTGCTTTTGTTACAGTTCCCAATAGAATATTCAATAAAATCAGCTTTACTCTTAAAGCTTTTTAAAAAATGATTAATGACTTAAATATATATATATATGTGTATATATATACATATATATATATAAACTTAAAAAAATACACACACACACACACATATACATACTCTTGTTGAGGAAGCAACACACTATAATTAAGAAACCACATAATTTGAAAACTTCCTTATACCTGCCTTTGATAGCAGGTGGGAATTATATTCTGATTCATCATTAGGAAACAACATGAAAGCAGGAAGGAGGAAAATCAGTGAAACATGCTACAGTTGTGGCAGGATGCTGCAGTCTTAATAGCCACAGCATTAAGGAGGCAGCTGCCTTTTAAAATTCTCCTCTGTAATGAATTCTCCCCTGCTGCTGCATACCAGCCAATTGGCTTCTGCTGTGGCAATATGCCTCTTAGCAGACCTCATTAACTTTCCAAAAGAGAGACTATAAGCTAAAATACAAGCACACATGCTAATGAAAATGAACAGCAATGGAACTAATTATCAAAAAAAGAAAAATTATAGGATTAACTCACAAATTATCTCCTTCATCTAAGTAAACCTAAATTTGTTTCAAAAGTGGGAATGGAAATAAAGGTGAAAGGATTAATTAAAAAAAGAGGTTTGTTTTGTTTTCTAACTTATTTTCTGCATTTAATCTGAATATTAAGTAGGCATTAGATAGATATTTGTCTCAGAAAGAAAACTGACTGAAGTTTTGTGTCTTTGTGTTTTCAAGAGAAAAAATGAGAGAGGAGGAGAACGGATGAGGAGGAGAAGGAACACAGAGAGGACAGCACATCACAGGGTTTCGAAGATCTCAACTTTAATACATGTGATTTCCATACTAAAAGAACTTCCGTGTTAGGTATTCAAAATGAAGAGTAATGAGGATGAGGATAATGAAGAAAGCATTTATAGTAAACAGATTTTAAAAATCCCCTTAAGTTATATGTATTAAAAGGTTGAGATCCATATTGATTATATCAATAAGTAAATGTCAAAGCTATTCAGACTGCATAATGAAGACAAGGTAAGTATTTGCAGCTGCCATCATATTCTGTTACAACAGATAAAGAAAGTCACACACACATATACACATTCTTTAAGTCTATATGCATCGTGGCTTCTAAAAAATATTATTAAAAGTTATGGCAATTTTAACAAAATATTTTAAATTTTATCACACTTGAACTTAAGTTCCTAGCTTGCTTTCTTCATGACTTCCAGATAACAAAATTGTTGGTTAATGAATGCTGCTTCTAAAGTAGAACAATTCCTCAGCAAGAGGGGAAAAAAGCCACACAGTAATGGTTTGCAATTAAAATATTTTTCTGGCATTTAGTTGCCCCATGTATACTGTTATTTAGACTAGATTTGTTTTTATTTTTACTTTTTTTTCATATGGAAGAGAAAGATAGTTTTTGTGGTATCAGTTAATGAATAGGTTTATTCTAGCTGCAGTGAGAGAGCTGCCTACCATTGACTTATAATATCTCAGGAGTCCCCACACAGCCCATACTGTCCTTTCAATGAATAAATATCCAATAATTTAAATTTGGTTGCCAAATGCTCATTTATTCATTCATTGAGCATCCACAATATTGTGCTATACCAAAATTCTTAAGAGGTTAGAATTTGGAGAGAGGTAAATTTCAATTGTAACAACTTCCTAGCTCTGTGATCACAGGAAGGCAATTTAAATATTCTAAGAATTTTATTCTCTTGTTTGCAAAATGGGGAAAAGATCCTTTACATTAAAGAAGTATAGTGAGGACCCGACACAATAATGCATAAGCCCAGCACAAATTTTTACAATAGTGCTTAAGGAAATGGCTAATAGAACACTGTTACCCAAGTACTGAAATTAGCATTGCTTCTCTGTACTTAGGCAGCATATGGAAGGCATATACCTTTCCTGTGTTCTGTTCTCTTTAATAAAATAGGGACAGGACTACTTTATTAGCTGCTTCAAGAGACGAATGAGTCCCCATACACAAGTCAATAGAAAAAATTTTGGCATGTAGTAATAATAAATGTTTGATACCATTCAATAAAATCAGAAGCTCATATCACATGACCATATGAATATAAGTACTCACTGCAACTGTTCGGTGCTAGGCACTATCCCAAGCATTGGAGACTCAAGGTAAAAGAGACTTCCTAGATCTAAAACACTCAAAAATCTAGAGAACTTGGTATCTTTTCACATAATTGTTCTCTTCCTATGCAAATGTGCACAGGAGGACAAGTTCGTCTTTTTATGTGTCTGAATAAATACACCCACAGGAATAATTACAAACAACCTTTGGTAATAGAATTATTTATTCCTTCTCAACCTAAGGATAATATAAAACTGAAAAGGCAAAAGGAAAAGGGGAGTTAGAGGGAAACTCAGAGGCAATCCCCTCTTATCCTTGACGGAGAACTGCAAGTCCTGACACAAAGAACAAGAAAATCAAATGAAACAACTTTCATAATGCCATTCTTCAGGATTTTGCCAACAGGATTATAAAACCTATACTGAAGGACATCTAAAAGTCTAATCAGCCCCTGTGAGAAGGAAGACACAGGATTGGGGCAATGGATGTACTGTAAGCCAAGTCTGCAGGGGACAAAATGGCCTAATTACTTGGAGAAGAGAATCAGGATCCAGAGTAACTTCAGAAGGTGGATAAACTAAGCCAACTCTAACAAGATGGTGCTAATCAATTAAAAGGATTTTTTTGGGGAAAAAAATCTAAATATAGAAAGAGAATTAGATGACTTGATAAAAAAAAAAAAGGGACTTCCCAGTTTCACAAAGGACATTAAGAGTTGACAGTGTGCTGTGGCCACCTGAGAAACAGTGAGAGCAACAGAAGATGCCAAGGAGACCCACACGGGGAGCCAGAATTCTGGAACCTCAAGGCCTGTGGTGACACTAAGGTCAGATGTCACCTATTCAGTTTGAACACTGAACTTAAAGATAACCACTGACAGACAGAAGTACTCCTTCCTTTACCCGACTGGAATTTAGTGAGCATTTGCTATAAGCAACTCTTTCCTCCAGGCACTGGGGAGTCCTATCCAAAGAAAATAGGATAGACAAAGTCACCAAGACCCCATTAAGCTTACACTGGGGGACTGGATATCAAATTAGATAAAATCAGTCATTTCACAAACCTAATGCTGCAAAAAAATATATATATACAATAAAATAAATGCAGGAAATTAATAGATTGTAATTAGAATTGGATGCAAATACAGATAACTGAGACCAGGTATCAGAGAAAGACCAAAGACTGGAGGAGGTGACCTCTGACTGGGACCAGCCATTTGAGGATGCAGGAAAAGAGCATTTCAGGCAGCAGTGACAAGGGCAAAACTCCCTAATAGGAATAAGCTGAAGAGGCTGAAGGAAGAGATAGGATCTGAAAGGTAGGAAATGTAGGTTTGCTAAACAAGAGAAGAAAGGAAGGCAGGGGCAGATCACAGAGCACTGTTAGCCACAATATGGGGTTGATTTTATTCATCACATAATAAGCAGTCCTTTAAAATTTAAGTCATAAATAGGAAAGGATCTGAATTACCTTTTGGAAAGATTTTTAAATTGCCATGTGGGTAGTAAATGGGGGCCTAAAAGGGCAGTTAGGAAAGGTTTGGAGGGAGGGGTGCAGGTGAGCAGAGTGTAGGCATGGGTGCTATTGTGGGATAAAGAGAGAAGCAGGCTCACGCAATGGTCCACAACAGTGCACGTCACAGGACAAATGGACAAAGGAAAAGGACTTTATTAACTGGGAAAGGAGGAAGGTAGGGGACATCCATGACACCTGGTCTCTAAATCATTATATAGCTCAGTTCCAAAGAGAGGGAGCTGGTGCCATGCTGTCATGAAGGGGTAGAAAAGCTTTATGTCATCAAGAAGAAAGACAGTATAACTCATAGGTTTGAGCCCTGCTCTGCTAAATATAGAATATGTTACATTGAGGATAAAATATCTGAATAACAGGATTGCTATGAGGATTAAGTAAATTAATGTGAAAAAATATGTAAGTCTCACTTATGGTAAGTACAGAGTGAATGATAGAGTATAACAATGACTATTATTATAATTACTTTTATTAGAAGGGAGCTATTCACAGATAATTACTTTAAAGAATTTTTGCTTATGAAAGTTCTTTGAGAATTTGACAAAGCTTATGTTTTCTCCCCAGAAAAAAAAAATGCTCATGTGTATACATACTCATTGATACATATGCCCCCCAAGATTTTGCACACTCTTAACAGAATCCTTTGAGATCCCATCAATAAACTTTTTAGATTAGGAGAGCATAGCTCTGAAATCAGGAAGTGCTATTCTAAGAGAAGAGAGTTGAGAAGTGAAGGGTTGGTTTAAATATAAGTTTTGTAACTAGTGGGGAAATGATAGCAGGTGAAGTTTCTAACCTTTCCATTTTCTTCAAGGTCTGTAGAGGGAAAGTTCTCACATATACACACAAAAGCAACATCATGAAAGAGACTGGCCTTAAGGACCAGGCATGCTACCAAAGCAGACTTACATCAAAAAGTACACAGGACATGGTTTGGCATGACAAGTGATATGTCATTGGGTCCTACTTGAAGTAGTGAAAAAAAGTCTTGCTGGGGCTGCAATTCCCATTATTTCTGTGGGTGGGAAGTGAGCCAGAGAAATAATATTTGTTACCATTATTGTATTTTATTCTGAGCTGGTGTATATGGAGAAGCCTAAATATTAGGCATTTGTGTGTGTGGTGGGTTTGGATGGAGAGACTGAGCACAGGGGCATACTACAACTGCACTATATCCCCACCCTCTTAATTTAAATTAATTTAATTTTTTGTTTGTGTGTGTGACAGGATTTCACTAAATTGTCTAGGTTGGCCCTGAATTTGCCATCCTCCTACCTCAGCCTCCTGAGTTGATTTGTTACATGCATGACTTAGACGTCTTTTTTTTTTTTTTGCCACAGGATGCAAACTCAGAACCAGTTATGCATATGTGTGCATTTGTATGTCTATGACTCCCTCATCCACTGATTAAAAGAAAGCAGACATAAAAGTGCCATGAGTCAAAGCAAGTGATTCAACAGTGAACTTTATAAAGATCAAACCTGTAAAGAAATAGAATGCTCTGCACAGGAAATATTAGACCATTAGACAAAGACTTGGCAAAGATACTGAAAATGTAGCATAAACTTTGAACCTAGTATCTGAATTGAAGTGTGTATGTGTGTGTGTGTATGTGTGTGCATGCACATGTCTGTCTACATGTGCATCTGTGAGTCTCTGTGTGATGCTTTTCTTCAAAGCAAATCTTACAAGTCCAATATATTAGCTAAGGAAAGTTGCTAGCACTATAGGGGAAATGGGTACTCTCCCCATCAAAAGCCTGGATTCCTCAGGGTATCATTTGAAAACTACTGGATTTGGTGATTTCTAAGAGTCCTGCTAGATTTGTCTATGAATCTGAAAAAAAAAAAAAAAAAAACACTAAGTTGAGGTTACCTTGAATGACTTGACCTTTTTTAAACCAACAGATAATAATTGCATGTATTTATGGTGGACAAATTCTATATGACCTCACTTACAGGGGGAATCTAAGATAATTCAACTCACATTCTTTACAGAGCAGAATGTGGTTGCCAGCAGTTAGGAAGGGATCATAGGATAAACAGGGAGGCATTGGTCAAAGAGGACTAAGTTTCAGTTAAAGTGGAAGAATAAGTTCTGTAGATCTACTGTATTAGTACGGGGACTTAGTTAATAGTAATGTGCTTTATATTTGAAAACAGCTAAGAGAATAAATATTAAATGTTCTCACTAAAAACAAAAGACTTTATCTTTGACTTAAAATTCAAGAGAGTCAATATTAAATGTTCTCACTGGAAAAAAAAAGAATTTGTCTTTGACTTAAAATTACTGAACATCCAATCATGGGGACATGAAAGGTTTTAAAATTACACAAAGAAATATATACATATAGGAAAATTGTATAAAACTTGGAGATAGACTTAGGATGCCTCCCCAACCCAGCCCCAGTCACCTCCCAGTCACCTCCCACATACCTCTTCATGGACTTTGGGGAGAGCTCCTTTTCTACTTCCTTCACAGGCATGCTGTAGGAGTCCACGTTGTACTCACTGTCATCGTCATACTCGTGGTCTAGCAGTGTTCTTGCCCATGTTCCCATGTCATAAGGGGGCAGCATTCCTCCAAACTCAGAGGGCAGGATCTCAGGATGAATTAGTTGGTGTAGACTGTTCAAATTGTTACCATGCAGAAATATCTAAGGAGCAAGAAAAGGGTGATAGAAAATTAAATACCATTCCAAATGCTCTGGGGAAGAAGAGAAGATGGGAAAAGAAAATATAAGACTCTCCCATGTCTGTTAAAATATTTAAACCTCTCATCTCCTCTTTGAAACAGGTAAGGCTGCTACTACTGTTCTAATATTTCATATAAAATCCTGAGGTTCAGAACTGTTAGGTAGTTTCTGGAAGATCAGATAATGAATGCCTAAAGAGCTAGAACCACAAATAAGGTTTTCTGCTTCATAGTCCAGGACACGGGCAGAATAAGATGTCTGTGCTGATCTGCACACAGTCCTGATATTGGCTGTGCAAGCCTGGTGATTCGCACAATGAATGCTGTTAGAACAGACCCTGCTCATGAGGGACTCATCAATTACAGAGTCTATCTGAGTTATTAAGCCCAGAAGCTGTCGCCAGTATGGCTTTCTCTTTATCATCAATAAAAACAAGAATACTGTAACCACCAAATTACTGCTTTATAATGCAAAGAAGGTGCTGTAAATAAAAGAAGTAGATTAGTATCCTCATAATGAAAGGCTGAGTGAGGTTATTGTCCCAAGGGATGTATGTTCTGAAACGCTGCCAGCATCCCCTCTTCTAGAGATTTCCATATTTATTGTCCAAACAGAAAGACCAACAATGGGTTGAAAATGCAGCATTGTATGTAAACATTAATTATTGGTATTACTGTCTACAAAGTGCTCATTTATTAAATGGAAGACTTATCAAGTCACATATTGAAGATTTATTTCTCCGTGATTTGCTACTCTTTTCTTTTTTTCATTTTAACTTCTCTGGTCTAGCATTATTGTCATTCATATAAATTTATGTAATATTTAAGAATGATAGTTGATAATTTACATAATAGTTTCATATTTCAGGTTCAAGATAAACAGGGTAGCACATTAGTATTTGCTTTTTGTAATTTTAGAATCCGCAGAAGTAAATACATAGGACAACAAAGAAAGATTAGTCTACAACATTAAATAAAATCAGAGGGATGGGAATCAACAGTTAGCAAGCATTTAAAATGAATTATGAAAGAGTAAAACAGAAAACAGCAGGTCACTGGCCAAAGCAAGAAAAGCAAGCAGCAGCTATAATACACGATGCTGGGGGCCTACAGTGGTGGAAGGTACCATCTGCCCAGATAACACAGAGTTAATTGCAAACTTCACACCTTCCTGTTCCAGTCTTTGAGCACAAGAGACAATATTTATTTCCAGGAAAATAATATTCTTTCTCTCTACCCCCACCTCAGGTTCCTCTTATCAGAAATGAAAAGAATTTTCCCAAGAAAGCACCTGAAACTGTTATTTTATTAGGTATGTAAGATTTTTTTTTAACCAAGTGCATTTCTTCCTTCAAGTCATGCAAGAGTTATGATAAAATAAATTTTTTAAAAAATCCTTAAAACAGTAAAATAATCCTAGCACACTGACTTCCTTTCTCTTCCCTAACACTCTGCTATCTCCTCCCTCAAAAACCCTCTCAGCTTTGCCCTTGCTTACACTTTTACTGAGAAAATAGGCCAACCAGAGGAGATCCAACCACCAGCATAAACCCCACCAAAGCCAAACTCTCCACATGCACACTAAAATCCATAATCCATCCTCCACTCAGCTATACTTCTCCCAAGTCTCTCTTATCTGTTTCTCTCTCTCTCACATCACAAATTTCCTCTCTCTACTGGATCTTTCCCATCTGAAAGAAAAACAATCTAACTCCACTATACCCCATGCAGTCATGTAAAACCTCTCTTGGCTCTGTACCCATCTGCAGTTGTTACCCTACATCTCTCCTTCTCTATGTTGCAGAACACTCCAAAGGAGATGTCTGTTCATTGCCCAAATGCTCTCTTCTAATTTTTCCTAAATTCAATCCAAACAAGTTTTGTCCCTTACCACTGTATGAATATAGCTTCTGACAAGATCCTACTAATTGCTAAATACAGCATTCGGTCCTCAAGTCTAAGTAGTTATAGAATGCATTTTGACACATCATACACAAACGGAATATAACTTTTCATTCTTCTGATTGTACATGATATAGAACCACACCTGGAGTATAATCATATATGCACATACGGTAATAATGTCTGATTCATCCCACTGTTCTTCCAACCTTCATACCCCATGTCCTCTCTTTATTCTCCACCATCTAATCCAAAGTATCTCTACACTTCCCTAGCCCCATCTCCTTATTGTGAATTAGAATCTGCATTCCAGAGAAAATATTTGACCTTTGGTTCTTTGGGTTTGGCTTATTTCACCTGGCAAAATATTATCTAGCTCCATTCATTTACCACCAAATGCCATAATTTCATTTTTCTTTTAAGGCTGAGTAATATCCCATTGGATACATAAACCACATTTTCTTTATCCATTCATCTGTTGAAGGGAATCTAGGATGGTTTCATTGTTTAGCTATTGTGAATTGAGCTGCTATAAATGTTGATGTGGCTGAGTTACTGTATATGCTTATTTTAAGCCCTTTAGGTATAATTCAAGGAGTGGGATAACTGGGTTAAATTGTGGTTTCATTCCAAGTTTTCTGAGGAACCTACATATTGCTTTCTATAGTAATTGCAACAATTTGCAGTCCCACCAGCAATGTATGAGTGTACCTTTTCCCCCACATTCTTACCAACATTTATTATCACTTGTATTCTTAATAATTGCCATTCTGACTACAGTGAGATAAAATCTCAGTGTAGTTTTGATTTGTTTTTTTCTAATTGCTAGAGATGTTGAACACTTTTCATATATTTGTTGATCAATTGTATTTCTTCTTCTATTGAAGTGTCTGTTAGTTCTTTAGCTAATTTATTGACTGGGTTATTTGGGGTGTGTGTGTGTGTGTGTGTGTGTGTGTGTGTGTGTGTGTGTGTTATGTTTTTTGAGTTCAATGCTCTATCTGAAGTTCATGTGGTTCAGATTTTCTCTCATTCTGTAGGCTCTCTCTTTACGTTATTGATTGTTTTATTTGCTGTAAAGAACCTTTTTGTTTGATTCATCCCATTTATTGATTCTTGATTTTACTTCGTGGGCATTGTGAGTCAGATTCATATAATCATTTCAATAGATGCTGAGAAAGCATTTGACAAAATACAGCACTCCTTCAAGCTTAAAGCACTAGAAAAACTAGGGATAGTAGGAACATATCACAACTTTGTAAAAGGTATCTATGCTAAACCCAAGGCCAACATCATTCTAAATGGAGAAAAATCAAAAACATGCCCTCTAAAAACGGAAACAAGACAAAGATGCCCTCTTTCACCACTTTTATGCAACATCATCCTTGAGACTCTAACCAGAGCAATTAGACAGAAGAAAGAAATTAAAGGGATACGAATAGGAAAAGAATAACTCAAACTATAACTATTTGCTAATGACATGATTCTATATTTAGAAGATCCAAAAAATTCCACCAGAAAACTTCAGGAACTAATAATTGAATTCAACAAGTTAGCAGAATATAAAATTAATACCCATAAATCATTTGCATTCCTATACATCAGTGATAAATCCACTGAAAGAGAAATTAGAAAAACTACCCCATTCACAGTAGCCTCAAAAAATATTTGGGAAATCAATTTAACAAAAGAGGAGAAAAACATCTATAATGACAACTACAGAAAAATTAAAAAAGAAACTGAAGAATGCCTTAGAAGATGGAAAAATCTCCCATGTCCTTGGATTGGCAGAATTTATATTGTCAAATGTCCGTACTACCAAAAGCGTTACACAGATTTAAAACAATCCCTTTTAAAATCCCAGTGACATTCTTTGCAGAACTAGAAAAAGTAATCATGAAATTCATTTGGAAAAATAAGAGACCCAGAATAGCCAAAGTTTTCCTTAGCAAGAAAAGTGAAACAGGAGGCATCACAATACCAGACCTTAAATTATACTACACATAGAGCCACAGTAACAAAAAATGGATGGTGTTGGCACCAAAACAGATACATAGACCAGTGGTACAAAATAGAAGACTCAGAGACAAACCCACATAAATATAGTTGTTTCATACTAGAAAACAGTGTCATTGACATACATTGGAGAAAAGATAGACTCTTCAACAAATGGTGCTGGGAAAACTGAAAATCTATATGTAACAAATGAAATTAAACCCTTCTCACCCTGCACAAACTTAACTCAAAGTGAATCAAGAACTGAGTCACTAGAACAGAGACCCTGCGACTGATAGAGGAAAAAGTAGGCCCAAATCTCTTCGATGTCAGCTTAGGAACTGACTTCCTTAATAAGACCTCTTGGCTAAAACATTTCCTTCCAGTGTCCTTTGATTGTCTCTTACTTTGCTAGACTTTTCTTACTCTTCCAAAATTTTAACATTGGAGAGTTCCAGGTCTCAGTTTTTGGAGCTATTCTCTTTTTAAACCATGCTCCCTCTTTGATGTTCTCATTCAATCCATTTCTTTCAGTCAGCGGCTTTACAATATTGTCCATATACTAAAAAGACATCTGGAATCCAGAACTCTTCCTTGAACTCCATATCTGAATTTCCACTCTACTTGATATCCTCATTTAAATGTTTAATGGGATCCTCAAATTTAACAATTCCAAAATTGAACTCATAAACTTCCTCCCAGATCTTCTCCCTATTTTCAATATCAGTTAATGATATGATTATCCTTTTAGAGCTTCTCAAACCAAAGCCTTTGATTCATCCTTTACTCCTCTTATTATCTGTCAGCTAATCTTTTTGGTGCTGTTTTCAAAATGTACCCTGAATACAATCACTGTTACCAAGTCCATCCCTATAACAATGACTCAAATTACTATCATCTTGTAAATTGTATTACTGCATTAGCCTCCTGATCGGTTCTCCTGCTTCTACTTATCCAACTTCTCTCCATTCTGAAGATGGGAGAGACCATATGAAAATATAAGTAGGACAATATCATTCCGCTCACAATTCCCACTGACTTCTTTCTCTGAGTAAACACTGTAAGACTCTGTAAGAACAACTTCTCTGAAAACATCTAATTCTCACTCCCCATAGGGACATAGTGCCTCAAGGCATTTGCAATGGATCTTTGTTCTGCCTGGAGATTTCTGCCTGCAAATGTTGCCACAGCTTATTGTTCCACAACCTCATCTTTGTTTGAAAATCGACTATTTAACATTATAGCTTTGCCCAACCTGGAAAGGATTACCCACTTTTTCTACACCATGTTTTTATTGCATCTTCCATGTATGATACCATTTATTTACATTATGAAGATGCTACTTTGAAGATATATAGAGAAACAATACCATTGTTTCTACAAATCCAAAATTTGCTGGAAAATGCATATCATATGAAGATGCTCTTTTTGAATTTACCTGAGTTTATGGAAAAAGGTTAAATGTGACTAGCTCATCTGGACTCAGCAAAAAGGATGCACTGCAATTGCCTAACTGGTAAATTTTTGCCCTTAGACTTCTTTCTTTCTTTCTTTCCTTTTCTTTGAAAAATTTTATGTAGGAACAAACTTTATTTTATTGTTTCTTTTTTCTTATGCTGTTTTTTTTTCCATTTCAAGCAAGAAATCTGGTCCTGTTAGCTTCTTTGCCAATTTTAAGAATTAAATTGAATAATACTTTCAGTACTATTTTGATTTCCTACACTATGCCATTAAAAAGATTGTGCTAAGTGATTTGGAATAGAAAGGAAGAGGGTGAAAAACTTTTGAGAATTAACAAGCAACAGAAAATGGGGTTCACCCTATTGAGGAAGAAATAGAAATTTGTGCCAACTCCTGAGAAAACCTGCTTCCTTTCAACTCTTGGAAAGTAACAAGGCCATAGCTATGGCTGAGTGAAGAGTGCTAGCTGTGGGTTGAAGCTGAGCCCTTGGTTTCTAACTTGAACTGGGATGTACCTCTTTAACAGACAATTTAAGAGCAGAAGGAAATCTCAGTTCCAGAAACAAATATTGGCTTGATCAGTGGGGATATCGGAAGTGTTTATAATGGAAGAGAAGTTTGATGTGAAAGATTCCAGATCCTGGTCTCGAATTTGAGAAGGGACTTATAACACCAAAGATTAATATTATTATCAGTCTACCATGTTGGAGGATCAAACTCATATTTCATTTAATTTGATAAAATGAAGAACTAGATGTTTTTCACATACCTGAGATTCACAATTCTTCTTTAGGTTTTCTTTCACCACTTTTTCAGAACACAGATTTATAGCAACTCAAGTGTGAGGTGTTAAGTAATATTGTAATGTTGAGTCATTTGTAATTCCATTAAGAAATGTAATAATAGCTTTGCATTATGCATTGACTTTATAAGTACAAATTAAAGGCATTTAACCTATAATTATTTTTATATGAAAATTTCCAAGTCATATAATTTTAATTAAAATGGTAAATTCTGGATACCTCATTTCCATCCAGAATAGTACCAGCAACGTAGTCTTCTAGGCATTGCTAAAATTGTCAAATTCAATCACAAAACATGTTGCTTTCCTAGTTTTCTAAACCTGAACTTCTTCAGTGATTTTTATTTTTTCCTTTTAATACAGCAAGATCATGCTAAAATCATGTCAGAAAAAGTCACCCCTGTAGACAAAGCCCTTGAAATATTTCCCATTTCACTCTGAAAGTCCAGATCCTTGCAATGGGCTACATGGCCATATATGATCTGGTGCACCATAGTCCTTGCTATCCATCCTGTACCACCATCCCTCACAGTTAATTCTGCTCTAGCTTTTCTTGTCGTCTTGTTATTTGCCAAATGCATTAGACAACTAGACATATGCTTACCCTCACAATCCCCTCTGCTTGTAACTATTCCCCATATATCCAGATATCCAGTTTTGCTACCTACTAGCTGTGATTCAGAGCAAATTGCTTAAACTTCTATGCCTCATTTTCCTATCTATGAAATGAGAAAAATAACAATTCTTACCCTAAAACATTGTTACAAAGAATAAATGAGTTAACATATGTAAAGTTGAGAACAGCATGTGGCACATAGTGAACACTACATAAGTACTGACTAGAATACTTTGTACTAAAAGCCCCAGCAGGTGCTTTGGATAACCTGATCACTCTTTCATAGAACAACCTGGAAAGAGCATTTGTGAGGCACTTCAACATATTTTCTGAATTTCAAAATACCAATAATTTGATTCTTGGTGGTAGAAACAATTCTTAATGCAAATTATAATTGAAATGTTTTCAACAAATTCATACACAGTAAGCTCTCTGTTCACTAATGTTTAATATGAACCCATAATTACTGCACATTCACACTCAAAATGAGGGCTCTGCAACACTGAAATACCTGAAGCACCTTCTCGGTCATTTGACAAACAGGGAGACTTACCTTCTCATAATTGGTCTAGAAGTAAGTATATTTTCCTGTGCAACTAATCATTTGGGAAATGGATACAGCACAAAGAGGTGGGAATTGGTCTAAATATGGAGTTGGGTGATTTGGGTTTTATTATTAGCTCTACAACATTACAGCTGTGTAGATGAGTAAGACCGTTACTTATCCATCCTAAAACTTCCTTTCTTTAGTTCTGCAGCAGAAGATACAGTTTACTAAATTAACTCTTCAGAGTTGAGAGTAGAATAGTAGTTATCAGAAGCTGGGAAGATAGAGATGGAAGAAGGTTGGTTTATAAACATTATTATAGTTTGATAAGAAAAATCAGTTACAGAAGGGTGCCAATAAATAAGAATAATGAATTGTGTATTTCAAAACAGCCAGAAAAAGTGATTTTGAATATTTTCACTACAAAAACATAATAAACATTTGAAGAGATATGTATACTTCTTCTGATTTGAATATTATATAATGTATACATGATTTGGAAAAATAAATAAATAGTTGGCCAATGTTTTTAAAATGTACATATTCAGAGCTGTTGCAAAATTTGAATGAAAGAACATGTACTAAAAGGCATTTTAAAATCTATATTTAATAATAATGATAAATATATTAGTGTGTATTATACACTGTGCAGTGTTCTAAATGCTTTAAGTAAATTATTATCTTAGTCTTAGAAAGATGATTTTGTTGTTATGTGCTTTGATTATCTCATGTTAGATAAAACTAAATCTTCAAGTAAGTAACATGTAATTTAAAGTAATATTAAAATGTCTAAACATTATCATTCTTTTCAAAATGTGTGATTGGTCATGATAATTATTACAAAATTATATCAGATATTGCAAAGTTTATTATATTTATTTCAATGAATATTATAAAATAACAAACACCCATTTATCAGCAAATACTATTTTAATTTCTCTGTAGACCTTACCTGAAATTAAGTACAGCAATATTAATGTAGTTACTTGGCAAAAAATTCTTTTGAACTTCACACTGAGGCTTTCATGTGTAATCAATGTATTAATATGTCCTCTTATAGTATAAGAAAGTAGGAAAGCTTGTTTTAAATGTTTCATTCACAAATGCAGCATTTAGAATTACAAGGTCTATAAGAATTTTAAGGTGCTTTCTATGCTAAATATTTATATGACAACCTAGAAACCCATTTTACCATGGCCATTATCATACACACAGTGTGTATCACAACTCATTACATGGGGCATATTTAAAAACAAAGAAAGCAACCTACCCTTTTCCGAGTCTTCTCCTTCAGGAAAGGCCGGATCACAGTGTACAGGGCATGGATGTACCAGGGTTGATTGACAAAATGAATTCCTCCAAATCGTGCTGGGAAACTATCCTAGAGCAACATGGAGGAAACAAAGTCAAGACATGCTTTAACATACTGCAGAGGTTTAGGAAAGGTCAAATTTGTTATTCCACATACTAAAATGAGATCATTTGTGCAGCTAAGAAGAAGGAAGAGCCTTTCCACATTGTAACTCGTGCTGAAAATGAACCACTATATAAGAAAGCAAAACCCTTCTCAAGAATAAGTTGTTGAAAAAAATGTCACCACTAACTGCTGTCATTATAGTCCCAGAAACATAAATAAAAAGTATGAGAGATATGTCAAATAATGAATGTATGTTATATAAATATTTTACTTAAATTATTTATAATAAATTTATTTAAATTATAATGCTTTATTAAATTTAAATGTAGTCATTTATAATATATATGCTATCAGCTATCAAAAATCACTTTATTCTTTTTTCTCTTACTATATATAAACTTTATTATAAAAATTGTCCTTTCTTTATTTCAACTACATAAAAGAAATCATGCTTAAGCAAAACAAAAGCCTAGAGTTGTACTGTAGAAAATCTGAGGATATATTTCATTAGATTAAATGAAAGTAAAAACCTTCTGAGCTGATCCCACCGGGTGATAATGGGCCTCTGCTAAAGCCAGCCTCCTTCAGCAAGAAATGACACAGTGATAAGCAGAGGTATTTTCTTCCTACTTACAACTAATGGCTGTGTCCCTACCTCCTGCACAATGTGAAGGGAATTCCTAGGGCACATCAACTGCAACCTTTGATACTGCAAGTAGCTGCCACATCAGTGCACTTAGGTGTTGCTACTAGCTCCAACTTCCACACTGAACCGACTGCAAAAGTCTACTCAAAAAACACTAAACCACCAGAACTGTCTCAAAGTGGGATTATAATAACTGGCAATCTTTAGATGTGGGTTATTTTTTATTTAAATGATCTCTTGAATAAGATTCTCTGCTCAAAAACATGCATGAATTACTCACCCTGCATAAAAATATTTTGTTTTGTTTGATATACTTTAGAATCATTAGTAAATTAATGATTTTGTAAACTGGTTTTCAGAACTAATTAACATTTTTTGCAAATACAATTTTTATGTCAGAGACTAGCACATCTTAAAACAATAGTACTTCAAAAATAAATAGATTAGAATAGCTAAAGATAAAAATGTGTCTCTTTTTAGGTCAGTATCTAACTTTTATAAATATGTAGTTTCCATTCAGCAAGAGATTATTATTATAATAACATAAATGAACCATATAGAAATTAAAACATAACTATTTTAAGTTGTAAAATTTTACACATAAAAAGAAAAGAGTAGCACACCTATAAACAATAAGAAGAACACTAAAACACTCAAGTGACCTCCATTCAGCTTAAGAAATAGAACATTTAGGACTTTCAAGTTGACTAAATTCACATTATTTCTCCTGTTCACATCTTAGAATTTCATATTAAAATTCCTTTGCTTATATTTTATATTTTAAATATTATAAACATAAGCATATAAATATTATATTTTACTTATTGCTAATTATTGTTCTATCATTATATTTTACTATGTATATATGTATCCTTAACATACACTGTTAGCATTTTTAAATAATCAAACTTCATAAATGTGTCACAGTACTGCATATATTCTCCTGTTGTCACATAATATTGTTTCTGAGGTTCGTTGTACTTGAAGTTATATAGTGTGCAGCTATAGTTCACTGCCACTGCTGAATACTAGACCACCATGTGGTACACCCTAATTAATCTATTCCATCCATGTACATTGTTTTCAGGGGTTTTGTTTTACTATTGCCAGCACTGGTGATCTGAAGACTTCATTCTTGTAAATATTTAAGGGTGTTTATCAAGAACCATAGAGTATGTATATTTCAGCTTAACAAAATCAGTAAGAGAAATTCTATCACTTTATATCCCTCCTTTCCATAGTATTGTAAGAGAGTTCCAGTTGTTCCACATATCATATCTTTCTAATTTTTGCCAATCTCATAAATATAAAATAGATTCTCATATGACTAGTTTGCTAGTATTTGTCTTTGCTCATTTTTATTACTTTTATCATAAGTAACACTTTTATAACAAACATTTTGAACATGTTATATTATTTTGGAATCCTTGAGAGTTCTGAATTATTTGCTGTATCTAGTGACTGTTTTCAAGATATCTTGTTGATGGAGGACTCACAGTGGCTAATATTAATTATCAGGTGTCCTGATGCAGCTGGCTTAAGGAATCCTTTCTCCAGACAAGATCCATTTTATCTCCTACTATGCACAAGACTTTAGCAACCTATATGGTTATAATTTAGTTTCCCATCCTGGAATTTCTCTGACTGCATCATATAGAAAATTTCAGGCACTTCTGAGGCTATTATGGCCTCAGATAACCAGGGGAGACTTATCATCATCATTAGTTTTATGGATATTATTCTTTTTCCATCTAGATAAAAGACAGACCTAGTGATTTCTTTGAAGTGTTCCTGTCCACCCAAGACTTTCTTTCAAAACCTTTTCTCAAAGGAAAACCACCAAGATGAATGTGAACTCTCATGTTCTGTCCCCTACTTCAAGGTTTCCAAGCCTACTTCCTGCTCCTGAGCATCCCACTCCCCAGTACTGTGCTTGCCTTCTTACCTGCCCACGCTTCTTCTTATGTTTCTGAGTTCAGTAATACATCTGGAAATATTTTGTTGTTATATATCCAACACTGTGCTTCTTCATGACAGGAAGACCTCTGAGAATTTTTAGCCTACTGCATTGCCTGAAGCCAAACTGCTTAATATGTTTTAAAATATACTCCTGAAGGAACATTTGGTCTCCTAAACAAATGAATGAATACCAGCTATCAAGGTTATTAAACCAAGTCCCAGCTCAGTGATTCTCAAATGTTGAGAATACATGTAACTTACACACAAAGTCAAGGGCTTTCTTGTTCACATTTTTCTATATACAGTGACTCCATCAGTACCAAATCACAGCTAGGGCTGAGTGAAAGAACAGGGAAAGCTCTGACTTTGCAATTAAGTAGACCTATTACAAAATTCTGACTTAATCCACCTCTCAAGCATCAAAGTTCAAAACAAAAATAACATCATTGGTTCCTTCTTGCCCCACTGTGATCTTCCCTTTTTTTTTTTTAAATCATGTTCCAGGTCTTACAATATTTACCATCCTGCTTCTGTGGAGCTTCATATTTGCTTCCTGCATCATGCCAATGCGATCCAAGCACGATATATGGGAATATAAAAATAAATCAGGCACTGTTGGGTCAGTAGAGTACACAGAACAGTCATCATCGCCATCACATGTCACTTCCCTGCATCTACTTCATGCCTGTGGTCACCATGCTGTTTTATAGCTTGCGGGGGTTGTTCTGTCCCATACAGATGTGGGCTCTTTGAGTGCAGAGGCTGTGTGTTCTATATGTTCTACTCATGCTTAGCTTGGAATCCATGTCCTGCTGTACAACCCTGAAGTTAAGAGACTGGAAGGTCAAACATGAATATCACAGCGGAATTCTGACAGAAAGAGTTCCTCCAATGACATGTTTGAGGAAGATTCAAACGCTCAAGGAGAGCAATAGCCATACTCTTGGTGCTAAGAAGCTCTTGGGAGATTGTTAGCAGAATTCCGGAGCTGGACCTGCCCACCTTCCACTTTCTAGATGCCACTAAGAAGTAAAAGGCTTTGGGACAACAGCAGCAAAGGTGGGTATACTAGCTCATAGACCTCTAAATGCCACTGGAGTTCTGGAGGAATGTGACCTCAAAACCAAGAGCTCAGGAGCATCCTCCTCTCCCATTGCTCTAGCTCCTCCAACAAGGTTTTGAACAATTATGACCTTTAATACATCTATCTGGTTTTGGAATTATCCAGAGAGATGACTGTTTTGTGTACTCTACTGACCCCACCTTACCTGATTCATTGCTGCATTCCCAGCATCTTATAAATGCACGTGTGTATCCCAGCACAGAGTTAGATAAATTTAGCTGAATAGAATCGATTCTGATATTTACTATTTAAGAAAAAAAAATGTCTTCTCTGAGCCACAATTTTCTTACCTACAAGGAACAAAATTGAATGGGAATGCTAATAGCTAACAGTATGTGTTACTTAATGACAACTCCTCACAGATACAAGCCTACTATATTCACTGTCAATCCCACTTTGCAAATGTGGAAATGTTCATGGAAGTAATTTTATAATGTGGCTTAATAGGCAGTTGTCCAGTCCTAAACAGCTCTGTATAGTACAAAATAACAGCATACACCACTCTGATCATTGACTCCGTAAGACATACCACTCTGCACTGGAGACAGTGACAGAAAAAGTGCCCCGCAATTAGTGAGAAAAACCTCTACAGAATTTCTACCTTCCAAAAGCATTGGCTAGCTCACCCATTCCCATTTACATTTTTTCTTTTTCCTTGAGCAGAAATCTTGTGCTAGATGCATAGGTTATCTTGCCTGAATGATTAGATGAATGGAGGAAGAGCTCACCAAGATTCTAAAGTAAATCAGCATTCCTCCAAGTCTGTGTTGACAATAACCTCCAACAAATACCCTTCTGTGGCAGAAGATGAGATTTAGAAGTACCCAGCAGGCAGTATGTGAGTTTCTCCAAGGATGAACTTTTAATTCAAACAATCCTAAAATGAGGGTCAATCAAAGCAAATTATCTATTTTTTCTTCATGGGTACTACAGACACTGAAATATTTCTCTCTCTCTCTCTCTCTCTCTCTCTCT